GGCAGTAGTTCAGGTCGCAATCAGTGCATGTCCACGACGGCGTTATGGCGGCATGGTTCCACCGCGGCCGGTGACCGCCTCCTCTTTCCGCTCGGTACTGACAGGCATGGACCTGGCTTTCTGTCACACATCCACACGGGGCACAGTTTTGGCCGCATGCACACAGAGGATGAAAGGGGAAACTGCGTTCTCGGACTCGGACTCCGAGTCGGACTCCGAGTCGGAGTCTGAGTCCAAGTCTGACTCAGACCCGGAGTCTGATCCGGACTTCGAGTTTGACCCGGACTTTGTGTCTGACTCTGACTCCAAGTCTGACTCAGACTCTGAGGCAGGCTCGAGCGAGGGGGGAGGGTTGGCCGCTGCCTGGCCCTTTGGGGCTGGTTTGGGTGAGCCTTCGCGGCTGGCTTTTTGCATGTTCTGGCTTGGTGTCCGAAGTCGAGGCAATTCTTGACTTGTACTGACGTTTTTCCCCGCACGAAGCCAGTCGGGTTTGGCTGTTCGCGTTTTGCGGACGCGGAGGTGGTTGTGTGCTGTCGCTCTTGAAAGTGCTCAGTGAGCGGTGCCACGTCACCGTGGACAACTCCCGTTGCCTATCCGATATAGGCTATCGTGTGTGTGATGTGAAAATTCACCGTAAAAATAACGCAAAATTCGCCCAACATTCACGTGTACACGTTTGTCACACCAAAAAATGCCACGTGTATTATCGGTCAAAAAAAATTTGCCACGTGTATTTTCGTTAAAAAAAAAAGTGACGTGTATTATCGACACAAAAAGTACGTGCGCTCGGCTAAGGCCGGCGCGTGGCGAGACTGGAGGCAGCAGTTAAAGTTCGGGGAACAGTAAAGTTCGGGCGAAGCTAAGTTCGGGCAATGCTGGTGAAGCTAAGTTCGAGTGATGCTTAGTTCGGGCGTTGCTAAGCGCTCAGGCTGCGCTGGTACTAAAAAACAGTTCGGGCACGAAGCGAAGTTCGGCCAGGGTGTAAAGTCCGGGTGAAGCCAAGGTCGGTGCTCGTACCCGGGGGGGGACACCCCCCCCGGACCCCCCCCGACCCACCGAGTGCGGGAAAAGTTTGGCGCTGGTACCCGGGTGGGCGCCCCCCCCGCCGCCCCCCGGCGAAGCAAAAGTTCGGGCGGAGCTAAGTTCTGGTGAAGCTCAGTTCGGACGATAATGAGTTCGAGTGATCCTAAGTTCGGGTGGAGCTAAGTTCTGGTGAAGCAAAGTTCGGGCGCAGCTGAGTTCGGGCGAAGCAACGCTCGGGCGAAGTTAAGTTCTGGCGAAGCAAAGTTCAGGCGATGCTAAATTCTGGTACGGGCGCAGCTGAGTTCGGACGAAGCAAAGTTCGGACGAAGCTGAGTTCTGGTGAAGCAAAGTTCGGTTCTCGTAGCAAGTTTGGCCTGTGATGGCAAGCTCGGCCGCCCGACTCCGTTTCCCGGGGTGACCCAAACACCGCGAGATACTGAGAAACTCCGCCAAAAACGCAATTTTCGGGCACATTTGACCCCGAAACGCAACAAACCTCGAAAACAATCTTCGACCGGAAAAATGTCATGGGCGGGGTTCGAACCCGGACTCACCGGCCTGACCGGGTTGGCTCGAATAGAGGCTATTCGGGGCAAATACCATTCTCACACAAAAAAACAAATTTTTACCATTCTCACACAAGTTTCAACAAACCTTACCATTCTCACACGGTCGCAACAAATTTTACCATTCTCACACAAGCTCCAACAAATGTTACCATTCTCACACAGTCGCAACAAATACCAAAGACCAGAGAGGCGGGTTTGAACCGACGCCACTCAAATCCTAAGATTATAAGACCCCAAACTTTCCAAAGGGCCAAAGTGACTTGAATTGCAATGTGTCAAGTTTGGGCATTCTCACCCGGGGAATACGCGTAAAGTAGTCGGGGTTGATTCGTGCTGAGCGGCGTGCTCTTCCCGGGAGTCCCGCCTGCCGGAAGCGTGCTGCCCGTCGAAAGCGCGCGCCAGGTCGAAGGCGAGCAGCATGTGAATCGGCCTTTTTTCCGGTTGATTGCCGCCGTCACGGTGGAGCTGCTTCTCTGTGCCTCTCCCTACCCGGAAGCCTCCGGACTGAGGAATGGTCTCCACTATCTTCCAAAGGGTGGGTGAGTGCGTTCTTGTGGCGAATCCCCAGGAGGCCCCGAGAGGCTTTTTGGGGGGCCCCGTCCGACGGGGAGTGACTGGTCTAAACGGTGGCTTCGGCAGTCCACACTGCAGCATCTGCCCAAGTGTTGGTAAGTGGTGGTACCGGCCAAATACCTGACTCAGCCCGGGGCTCTGGAGTGCAATGAGAGCTCCAGCCGGGGCTCCGGGCCCACACTGTCTCGAGCGCTCTTCGCTCTGCGGTTGGGGTCCTGATTGGCTTCGCTTCATGGAACCGTCGTGACTCTGGCGCCCCAGGCTTCCCTGCTGCATCACCCTCGCCGCCTGCGTGGTTGCAGCCTCACCGACCCTCACTGAGGCTCGGTAGGCTGCAGCGGGCCCGGCAGTGAGGCCTCAGTGAACAGGGCAAGCGTGCCAGGAAACACGCCAAAATATGCCCAGAAAACTTCGAAACTGAAGAACTTTGGGGCGAAAAGTATCCTGAATGGGCTGGGAACCCCCCCCAAAAAAAGAGCTACAAAAGGCTACAAAAGGCTACAAAAGCTACGCTGTAGCTAGCTATAGCTTCTTGTAGCTAAACCTCACTGTGAGACCTCACAGGGCTGGTTAGCCACAACTTGCCACAATGTGGCCCATTGGGCCACAACTTTAGCCACAATGTTGTGGCTAAATTGTGGCTAAATGTGCAAAAATTTTGATCGAGAAAAAGACCACCCAAAACACGCTAAACACCGTTTTTCGGGTAGATTTTCGTGTTTATTGGATGGTTTTGGGTATTCTGGGCCTCATACCCCCCCAACAGACCTCGAGTTCGCTTTTCGTGGGTTCGAGTGGTTTCTGCCAACTTGCAGCCACGTGCTGCTAATTTCTGGGGTGACTCAGCCAGAATTCGCTATTATGTTGCGAAATCCGCGGCTTGTGGGGGTTTTCCCGGTTTGTACTGGACCTTTCGACAATTTCAGGTGGATTCTGTGCGAATAAACGGGGGAAATGCTTGCCAGGCCCCCGGTTCCCGTGCGCTGCGCAACACGGGATGAGTATCTTCGTGTCACGTGCACGTCCCAAACATGGTTCATGCTACCGCGGGTCCCCGGTTCATTGCCACTGCCACTCCCAACAGCTCGAGAGTCGACTGGGACTCGCCTTTCCTCTCAGCAGTCCTGATTCAGGCTGCGAAAGCTTGACTGCCTTCAATTCATTCAGCCACTGACATTCTGAATTGAAGTTGTTCCAGCCGCGGACCTGCATGCAACGACGTTCACTCATCCACTCATCCGCTTTTTCGTTCTTCTTCGTCACGGCTTAGTTCAGTGCGAATCGCACCGTGGTCACCAGGTTGGTGCTGCTCGGAGCCGCACCCGAGGGAGCTCAACAGGTTGTAGCACAACCGGTGCGCATCACTCTGCATCGCCGTGCACTGCGGTGCAGCACTGCCCAGGCGCGGCGAGACCAGTGACCGTCATCCGGCTCGGTGTTCAGGAAGAGGTGGCCCGCTTGGCAGGCAGCACCGCTGCGCAGTGTACTCTTTCCGAGTACTCTGCACCGTGCAATGCGCCAGTCATGTGCTTACCAGATTCTCGCCGAGTCTCGGTTTCGCGTTCTCATCATGACATCAAATTTGACGGTGAAATCAGCCCCCAGCCTGAGTCCAGGATAGGTTGCTTGCAATGCAACAAGTTGCACTGCAAGTTGCAACAAGTAATCGATGAACACGGAAACTTTTTACAGTAGCAAGGAACCGACAGCAAACTGGTGCACGGGTCGGTGCAAATCCTGTGCAACGGGTTTGCGGACATGATCGTGTCGCACTGTTGAAGTCATTATCCGCGATGACAGCCTACCCCGGGACTTGGACCGAGTCCTGCTGTCGAAAATACCACAGTGTTCAAAATAGCCGGCGATTGAATCGGTCTGCACAGGGCTGGTCGCCACACGGTTGCCACGTTTCTTTTTTTTGTAGTGTACGGAGCCTGGACCTCAGCCTTTTGAGAGGGAAACATGAACATGAATGTACCTGGCCATCCTTTAGCTCCGTTAGGTCGGGAGAGGAACGGTTTCCGGGGTGCCTTGTTGTCGGCTCCGGTTAGAAGTCCGGTTGGGGAGCTTCGTCACGTGTGGCCACCGTGTGGAACGAGGAGCTGTGAAGGATTTCCCCCGTTTACTCGCACAGAATCCACCTGAAATTGTCGAAAGGGTCCAATACCAACCGGAAACCCCCCCACAAGCCGCGGATTTCGCAAAATAATAGCGAATTCTGGCTGAGTCACCCCAGAAACTGGCAGCACTTGGCTGCAAGTTGGCAGAAACCACTCGAACCCACGAAAAGCGAACTCAAGGTCTGTTGGGGGGGTATGAGGACCAGAATACCCAAAACCATCCAAAAAACACGAAAATCCAGACAAAAAACGGTGTTTAGCGTGTTTTGGGTGGTCTTTTTTTCGATCAATTTTTTTGCACATTTAGCCACAATTTAGCCACAACATTGTGGCTAAAGTTGTGGCTAAATGGGCCACAATGTGGCAAGTTGTGGCTAACCAGCCCTGCCTCACACTGCCCTGTAGCTTTCTAATCATTTTGTGTGTACACGCGACTGTGTGAGAATGGTAGCATTTGTTGCGACTGTGTGAGAATGGTAGCATTTGTTGCGACTGTGTGAGAATGGTAGCATTTGTTGCAACCGTGTGAGAATGGTAAGAATTGTTGAAAAAGTGTGAGAATGGTGTTTACCCCAGGCTATTCACAGTGCATGTTCATAGGACCTCCATTCTCGAAAAATTCACACGTGTAAAAACTACAAATTCCCCCCACTCTGGCACCAGCCCCTGTAATGGGCACTCGAAAACACCGCATGGGCAAATCTAGTCTCGGAAAAGGGCAGACCCGGGTTCGAACCAGGGACCATTCGGATTGCAGCCGAATGCTCTACCACTGAGCTACCTACCCTGTAATTTCCGGAATGAATGAATGAATGAAAAACAAGCACCGTTCCTTCAGCCGCTCAGAAGAGCAGCATCCGGAACGGTCAGGCGTTACTAGCCCGTTTGCGCCAAGAGACACGCGCACGAGTGACAGGTCCACAGGTTAGGGGATAGGAAGGGGGGGGTCGACGAGGGAAATAAGAAAGAAGACGGAAATAAGTAAAGAAATAAAGAAAGAAAGAAAGAAGTTTCCGGTTACGCTTTAACGCAAGACTGTCCAACATGAAGAGCATCGCGAACGCAATTACCTCAGCTCAATCGAGGTCACTCAGATCCCTCTACCTTGCGTACGTTCTCCCCGTCTTCCTCTATGGCATTGGCGTGTACGGTCCGTGCCTGCTGAATCATGATTTTCACCTGATGAAAATGGACCACCACCGTGCCCTTCGCATCATCACAGGGCTCCCAACCTCAACATCAACGCACTCTCTCTGCCTCGAAGCTGACGTAGTTCCTCTGGAGATTTACCGCACTAAACTTTTGTGCACGCTGTATGAACGAATACGACGTCTTCCGCGAACACGTGGCCATGATATCTGTGTCAGATATCTCCCGGCTCCGACAACGTGGTCCCATGCAGCTCGTGAAGAACTCGCTTCGACTGGGCTATTGAACGTGCGTCCGCAGAATCTCTTGCCTCCGACCTCGTGCTCTTCCCTTGAAGTCCCAGACTCAATCCACATCATTACTACGTGTCCGGGTATTTCGAAATCTTCCAGTGCTGCCCAAAAACGGAAGTCGTTCGAACTCTCCCTTGAGTCGCTGCCTGATCGAGACGTCACCGTCTTCACGGATGCGTCTAAAGCGCCACGTGAACAGAACACTGGCTCTGGCTGCCTCATCGTGACACGCAATGCGATCACCGAAGAAGTCCTGCGCAACTTTCCGCGACGCCTGTTGGGACTACGGATATATGTGAAGCGCGTATCCTCCTGCTCCCTGCACCTGATGACGAGTGGTGGCAGATTTGCGACGATATTCCGTGCTGAGCTAATTGCAGTTTTCATTGGCGTGCATGCGATTCAATACTTTTTGCCCAATACGCTTGGATCGAGGGCACTCCTTCTCTCCGACTGCCAATCGGTACTAAGAACTCTCGAAAAAGGATTAAGACAAAACGATGAGATAGCAAGTTCCATCCACCTGATATTACGTGATACCGTAGCAGAAAACGTCACCCTGAAGCATGTGCCTGCACATTGTGGTATTTGGGGAAACGAACAAGCAGATGCAATTGCAAATAGGGCTCGCTCCCAAACGGGTGACACCTACACGCGCCTTGATCTGCAGTCTGCCAAAGCAAGAATTGCTGAGAACCTTTTCAGCTGCTGGCTCAACGATCGTCCAAAAAATTTCCACTATGCAGCAACACGGGGACTCCTGCCCACTAAACTGCCAACAGTTCTGTCCAGGCAGGCAGAACTACAACTTTTTGCTTTGCGTACGGGCCACTCACCCTTGAACAAGCACTTCCTTCGAAACGACGATAGATGCTATGACCTTCTACAAGGACTATGTTGGCACTGTCACCAAAACACGAGTAAACCCATGCTTGAACACATAGTTCTCCACTGTCCGTCGATAGACAATTTCAGACGTGACTGCCTTAGATTCCCCTACCCCACGCACCTGCCCCATGTGTTTACAGCCAAGAATTGTGTAGGCCTCCTTCTGTTCCTCCAGATGACGCGAGACATAGTCGTCTTCCCCATACTTCAACTTAAACTGAAGCAACCAGTTTCCTGCCGACATACCCACAACCGGGTTTAGAACAAAACAAGATCCTCCTGTAAATGACTCACCCGCTATCTTAAACGATAGTGAGAACTAGATAACCTCAATTGCCTTCCGCTCGAAGTTTCACTAACGTCCCTAGGGGAATTGCCCCCAAGTCCAGGTCAGCTTCTGGTGTATTCGTTCATTCGCTTGCCCAGTCTCCCAACTGACCGCTGGCTTTCCAGCCATGTCTCGTTAAATCGTCACTCCGCTGGGAAGTCAGTCCCGAAAAAAAAAAAAAAAAAAAAATTTTGCTGTTCTGTTCTGTTCTGTAGGGCGGAACGAAGCCCGGGCAAGACGAGGCAAGACGGTCTCTAACGGGCAAGCGTACAGTGGTTCTTTGTGCCACCATTTACTCCGTTGTGTTGTTTGTGATGGAGTGATGACTACTACTTGTTCGTTTATCGGTTTTTTGTTTCACGTAAATTGTTTTTCCTTCTGGCTACGGTTCTTGGTTCTCGTTATTGGGTTCGCTTTCTGGTAATGGTTTTCGGTTTACGTAAATTGGTTCTCTTTCTGTTAACGGTTTTCGGTTCACGTAAAAGTTTGAGGTCCTACTCCAAGTCCGAGGGCGTGGTCAGGGCGCGCAGCTTTTCATGTTTCAATGCTGTCTCCTCCGAGCCGTACCTTCTCGGGTGAGCATCGGACCTCAGTTTTGCTTGCGATGCTTGAGGCACCTATACGTACTGGGCAAATCAATTCGCTTTTCGCTAGTAATGCCTCTGCTCCTCTTTCTACTTTCTTGGTTCAAAGTGTCAAGTGCAAGGTGCCGGAGTAGAATTCTCTAGCTTCCTACTCTCGTTCTCCATTTGTACTTCGCTTCGCTTTGCCTTCGTTTCGTCGCTCTTCGAGGTTGCTTCGACGTCGGGGGTCGGCCGTCTCGCGGTCACGGTCGTGACTGTTCCTCGGACGCGCTCTCGTGGGCCGGGGGGGTTGTCCCTCCGACGGACGAGGCGGGGCCCGGTATGCGGTGGTTGAGTCGGGGCCGAGTCCGATTACGGGCGTGCAAATCCGCTGGCCTCGAGTTCGCGTGTTTGTGTCGCGGTTCTCGTGGCGGATGGGCGGGATTCGGTGGGCTGTCGTCGGGTGTGGTCGGCACGAGTATCCGGTACTCCTCCAGCAGTCCGGTCCCTTCGCAGGTACTCGAGTGCCGTCTCCGGTGTTCGAAACAGCAATCCCACAGCTGTTCGTGTCTCGGTATCCACACCGGTTGGCCACCCCCTCCGCCGTACGGGGAGCCACTTCCCCACAGATCAGGTCACGCTTCCCCTGCGGGTCCCTCATGGCCGCAGTCCAAAAAAGGTGCGAGACCGGCACTCGGCTACCTCTCCGCAATGCGGGCAGAGACGATTCGAGGTCCGTTCGGGACTTGCTAAGGTCGTAGTCCTCCGGCACCAATGTGCGAAGGAGGCGGTGCTGGCCCGTGCGGATCTGCCTGAGTCTACGCTCGGCCCGGTTTTTGCAAACAAAAAAAGTACGTGCGCTCGGCTAAGGCCGGCGCGTGCGAGACTGGAGGCAGCAGTTAAAGTTCGGGGAACAGCAAAGTTCGGGCGAAGCGAAGTTCGGGCAATGCTAAGTTCTGTGTGAAGCAAAGTTCGGGTGAAGCTAAGTTCGGGCGAAACAAAGTTCGGGCGAAGCAAAGTTCGGGCGAAACAAAGTCCGGGCGAAGCTAAGTTCTGGGTGAAGCAAAGTTCGGACGTTCTGGTGAAGCTAAGATCGGGCGAAAAAGTTCGGCGAGCTAAGTTTCGGGTGAAGCAAAGGCGCGAAGCTAAGTTCTGGTGAAGCCAAGTTCGGGCGAAGCAAAGTTCGGGTCAAGCTAAGTTCGGGGCGAAACAAAGTGCGGGGAAAGCTAAGTTCTGGGAAGCAGAAGTTCATGAAGCAAAGGTTCTGTGAAGCAAAGTTTCTGGTGAAGCAAAGTTCGGGCGAAGCAAAGTTCGGGTCAAGCTAAGTTCGGGCGAACACCAGTTCGGGCGAAGCTAGTTCGGGGGTGTGAAGCTATTAGTTCGTGGAGCAAAGTTTGAGTGAAAGCAAAGTTCGGGCGAAGCAAAGTTCGGGTCAAGCTAAGTTGGGCGAAACAAAGTCGGGGCGAAGCTAAGTGTCTGGGGGAAGCAAAGTTCGGGTGAAGCAAAGCTTGGTGAAGCTAAGATCGGGCGAAACAAAGTTCGGGCGAAGCTAAGTTCGGGTGAGCTAAGTTCGGTGAAGCAAGTTCTGGTGAAAGCCATAGTTCGGGCGGAAGCAAAGTTCGGGCGGAAGTTCGGGTGAAGCAAAGTTCTGGTGAACATGCATGTTCATAGGACCTCCAGTCTCGAAAAATCCCCAGTCACGCTAAGAGGGCAGCGGAGAAGCCAGGGGGGGGGCGGCGACAGCCTACGCAACAGCTGTCAAAGAAAGGCAAGTACCCGTAGCGGCATTATCGACAACTGAGCCGAAACCCTCGGAATGGCTCGCCTGTCCCGCTAGTCGTGGACACCTTCGGAGCGTGGTGTCCTGGAGCACTCACGGAGAGTTGGGCAAATAGCCCGCAAAAGCGCTCCCGTGAAGACCGGACCGCTTCGGCCGCCTGCCAGACTTCTTCCCACCAATTGAGCTTTCAGGTAGCTCAAGGGGTGGCAAGAACATTAGTCATTGCATCTGTGGGGCGCGACCGGACGAAGCGGTCCACCCTGTTGCAGGGGGTAGTGGTCAAACTGCATCGCGGGTTTTTTTACCTGGTCGGACCTGCTCGCTAGCAGGCCAGCCCCAGGTCGCAGTGAGACTGGCGTTCATGTGTGCTGAAGAAGCATTTTTTTGGGCTCCCGCTCCGGAAGCAACCGGATACCCGGCAGCCCCGCTGTATCAACATGGCTTACAGTGTCCCGCGCTCCAAAAAAAGAAAAAAAAAAAAATTCTGTTCTGTTCTGTAGGGCGGAACGAAGCCCGGGCAAGACGAGGCAAGACGGTCTCTAACGGCAAGCGTACAGTGGTTCTTTGTGCCACATTTACTCCGTTGTGTTGTTTGTGATGGAGTGATGACTACTACTTGTTCGTTTATCGGTTTTTTGTTTCACGTAAATTGTTTTTCCTTCTGGCTACGGTTCTTGGTTCTCGTTATTGGGTTCGCTTTCTGGTAATGGTTTTCGGTTTACGTAAATTGGTTCTCTTTCTGTTAACGGTTTTCGGTTCACGTAAAAGTTTGAGGTCCTACTCCAA